CTTGGCAGAGTACTTTCGATATCTCAGGCGCCATGCGATCGACTGGTGGCTCCTCTGGGGGAAGACCGACTAGTCAACGTGGCAGTATTCTCACAGGAACCGCCCTTAGTAGCTGACCAGGTCGAGAGGCGCCTTGTGATAGCTGTCGTGTAGGCTCACGAGCTGGCCTGAACAGTAGCTTAGTCGCTGCTGGTGCTACACCAAGAGTAATCATGAGCTGACCTGAAATTTGAGTACATTTTTGCAGGCATCAATGGAGAGCGTTCAAGTCATGGATCGTCCAGTGACCCAGCAAGGGTTGTCGGGCATGAGGACATCACAGACGAGGTCTGGGAGACAGGTGCAAGACAAGAGCTATTTCAAAGCACAGCTGAGGAACCGAATGTGAGTCCAGGAGAATATCGCCGTGTAAATAGTCTTGACATAGAAATGCCCTGTCGTCCGAGATAGCCCTATTCAATAAGGAGATGACTGAAATCGCGCGAGAAAGTCAGTCATACAAACAGTACCAACGTCGGCGCCAATTATTACTGGAAGAAGTGATAGCATTTGCGGTTGTGAAAGTTGCATAAAATTTAAATAGGTTAAAGGTCTGGAAGGAGAGCTAGCTGATTATAACCTCACGCTCGATAAGCAGAGAGCCAACATAAGATCAGACGAGCTCGAAAGACAGTATGGATTTTATACCTGCTTCCCAATGGAGAGTTTTACCGTCCTGAAAGGTACATGAGTGTAAAAGAGAAGAATGTATTTGGGAAACAACAGATTGACGAGGTCTTCCTTCAAAAGAAGGAACGCGAGGAGGATTTGGCTACACTTGAGCATGCATTATTCGTGAGCTAATTCACACCACTCCATTTCCAAATCACAATGCTTCAGGAACAACAATCATATCTTGAAGGACTAGTGGCTCGACTTATTCCAGAGCAGAAGAAGGAGTACGAGAAGCTGATAGCTGAGCAAGTCAAATTGAGGTCTGTACAGTCGAGAAGAATCGCTAAAGCTAAAGCTCGGTGTTTTGTAGAGATGCTAGCCACGAGCTGGAAGCAGCAATGGAACCGCTACAGCAAAGGTGGATGGGTATTTCAAGTCTGTCAGGATGTCATTGTTATTAGACTAGCTGCAAGCAGTGATAGACTTGATAGGGATCCGTCGCGTCGTCGTATGCTGGCTCTATCAAAAGCTCGAGGTGACACGAGCTGCTCGTAGATACTATGATTACTCGTATACGTGTCGCTATAGATAATATACTC